CTACGGAAGTAGATTGCTCAACCTTCCTTCCAAGGAGTGGCTGGTGGGTTTGAACCGCCAGCTTTCTGGTTAGCAGTCAAGTGCCTTAGGCACTATGCTACCAGAGCTCCTAATAAGCATCTTAATACTCAGTAATTGGCCATTTCTAGTAATCTAGCAACCCCCAAGGAATTTTGATGATTTAGTTCAAATACTGTACTGGCATGGCAGGATCATGTAAATCACTGAACATGTTACAAACAAGTAGAACATGTGAATCTATTTCTTTAGTAACAGCTTTACCCGTTAAAACTGTTAGGGGAGAAGAGGAAAGAAGGAGTGCTGACATTGTAATTTAAAAAAAAAAAAGTCCTGGCTTTTTTTATGTAAGTTGCCATCTTAGAGTCTGAAATTAACTTGAAGGCCATTTGGCAGATTCCTAAGGATGTTTCTACTTCCCCTGGAAACTAGTAATAATTTTACACTTCCAGTTTGGAAATTAACTCTAGGAATTAAAGCCTCCTCCTCCTCCTCCTCAAAAAAAGAGATTTTGACTTCTTGGTGGTAGAGAAACTTAAATATTTTCTCCAACAGATTATGTCATCCATCATACTACAGACACATTATTATTTCTCTATAACAATATCAACAACAAAAAACCCTTGGCCATCGAGTTGATTCTGACTCATATTTCCCTATAGCTCTCATTTTTGTTTTGTTTTTTTTTTTTTTTTTTTTTGTCCTTTTTGACTGCCACCAAGGCTATTGGTTCTTAGACTACACTTTTTGCCAAGCTCCTTATGTATCTGTGGCCCTCCTTCTACCCTGCTGGCTGACTAGGAAGATCCTGGCTTGCTTTTCTTGAGACCTCCATTCTATGTAGTTGAGGCATCCCTTTTGCAGGGTTCTTTCCTTTATATTCTCCCCTCTCATATACTTTTCAAAAGCCTGTTCGTACTTTCTTCTTAAGACTGTCTTCCTGTTCACTCTCTACCTGTTTTGGTATTCTCCTTATGTGTGTGGTAGAAGATTTAGAAATCTTAGGCTTACAAAAGTGAGCTATGAAACACCAAAGGTTAACAAATACCATAGTAAAGTGTAGATGAGCGAAACTTTACCCTCCACACCTCAATTTTTATGAGCACAGGCAATCCATGGAAGCTCCCCTATGAATCACTAAATATAAGAATAAAATGGTCTGTGTGGATGGTCTAACTAGCATGAAACTTCTTAGTTCTACTGTGTGATTTCATCAAGTACAGAGCACTGAGAAACAATGAAGCGCCTACACACAGAGATGTCAAGGTTCCCCTTTTGTATAAAACATTACTGGAGCTCTTTGCAGTGCAATTTGAACAGCAGCTCTGAGCCATTACATACATTAAATGGAAGTAAATTATTTTCCAGCACACTTTCTGAGATCTAATCCTGTCTATCCTTTTCTTCCTAGGTACTTGGAAGTTCTGGTAAAACATACATATGTTTGGCCTCTTGTCATTACTGTTCTTGTCCTGCATTTGCCTTCTCAGTACTACGGAAAAGTGACAGCCTACTGGTAAGGATAGGGAAAGCTCTTCTACTACAGTTGAATTAGGAAAGAAAGTGTGTGGTTTGAGAGTTGTACAAAATGGGAATTTCACTGCATGTCATAGTTTATTGTCCTTGGCTTTAGCTAGTCATCTCTTTTGGATTTACCCTCCTAAAAAGCAAAGTGATTTTGAGAAATTTTTCAGTTTCCTGATACTTTATTTAAAAGATCATAGATAAAGCTTTGGGAAAGACAATAGGGAAACCCTAGAAGGGAATTAGATGGTCCAATAAAAATATGAACTAAATTGGATATTGGCAGCTTGCATATTCCCAACTGCAGCCATGAGGTGGTGTCTTCCCACACTACCCATAAGACAGCCTGGCACTTAGCTACACTTTCACATGGGGCAAGAGAGCACAATGATGCCTTTGCTAATTTCATAGGAGGCCAGAGCATCTAGAACAGGACATGCGCAAACAATTTCTTATTCCAAAAGGAAAATGAACTATTCACCTAAGAGCAGTAGCTATTTTTCAAGTCCTGTCAAAGAAGAAAAAAAAGATAGCATCCACCCCTCTTTTCCCTTTTTAAGGGAACTCCTTAAAATTAGAAAACATTTTAGAAATTGGGTGGCAAGTTGGGTATTCCATTATTTAAGAGGCCATGTTCACAGCTGATGCATCATGTTTATTTCAACTGTAAAATGGTAAGATTGAACCAGGATTCCTTCAAGATCTAAAGCTCTGTGCTGTAGTCGTTCCTATCTCCCTAGAGGTGTGTACTGCCTATATATGTGAGAGTTTTGCTGCCACTTCCTCCCTCTACCCCCCAGGAATTGTAACAGTGGTTAAGAGAGTAGACTCTGGACTCTGAGCATGTGGTTAAAATGGAGATGATCCCTGTCCTCACAGGGTAGCTGTCAGATGTAAATGAGCTAATCTACCAGAAACAGCAGCAAAATGCCTCAAAGAATGTTAGTCATTAACAGCTTTCTGAAGGCGAGGAAAGCTGATGCTCAATTAGGACAAAAATGAGTAGCCTTATCTTGGTTTTCACCTTGGGTTATACACCTTGTGCCAGCTGGAGCTAAACTGTCTCCCAAAGCAGCAGGCAAAGAAGTCCTTCTTTGACCGCTCTGATTTTTAGAAAAAATATATCTGTCTCATCTTCTTTATCTGCAGTTTTTAGGCAGTGAGTTGAAGGCCCATAATTAGTGTGCCCCAGTTCTTTCCGCCTAGATGTAATGGTAATGAGAGGTCTGGGTTACCCTGAAAATTTTGGCCTTTCCTTTTTCTAATGGGCTTCTGTGTTTTGTGTTCCAGTGTAAGCATCTCTTGGCAGTTTATCTTAGTCAGATAATGGGGACCTGCCAGCAGCTAAGCATCTCTGACAAGCAGTTGACTGAAATATTATTGACTGAGGAGGAACAAGACCATCAGGTACATATTGAGCATCATCTTTCAAAATAGAAATCCCATCAAGAAATATGTTTTAAATTGTCATGGTTCACATGGAAGAGAGCTGAAATGGATCTTCCAGAGGTTTTTTGTTGCCATGACACCTTTGTCTCTTTTTCCCTCCTGGCCTGCAGGAGGAGCTGTGGGTTGGATCACAGTGTATGGTTAAAAGCCCTATACAGATCTCCTCTTGAAAAAATGTAACCAGTCTCTGAGCCCATTGTGTAAAAAATTTCCCTGGATGTAAGCAAACATTCTATACTCAAATAAAGCCTAATACCATGTCTTCTCCATAGTTGGTTAGATTCCTAAGTGATTGGATTACTAGTAATTTTTAAAAAGTTGAAATGGTAGGCCAAACTGAGTAAAGTGAGGTTTAAAAATGGTAAGTATTAAGAGTTCTTTTCCTTGGGTCCAGAAAATTATTCTGTAGCTATCAAAGATCAGAGTAAAGAGATACGACTTGATAGCAGCAAGACTTAGGAGTTTTGGTTTCAGTAAGCTTTAAGTATCTATGGTGTTAGTGTCAAAACAACTTGTACCAAAAACCAAACCCAAACTCACTGCCATTGAGTCCATTCCAACTCATATAGGCCAGAGTAGAACTGCACCCATAGGTTTTCCAACTCTGTAAAGCTTTACAAAAGCAGACTGCCTCATCTTTCTTCCACAGAGTGGGTGCTGGGTTTGAACCACTGACCTTTTGGTTAGCAGCCAAATGCTTTAACCACTATGCCACCAAGGCTGTATGGCTATATTAGAGAGGTGGTATCTAGAACAAGAGAGGTGCTGGTGTTGCTCTGTATGTATTTTTGAGCCTTACAGCACATCAAATAAGGAAAGGGACTTAAAATCATGTCCTAGAAGGAACCTAAAGTTACTACTAGGGATTTTCAGTCTGAAGGAAAGGCAAATGAGGTTGTTGGAGGGAGGGAAATGGACTCAATTGGACCCCAAGAGAAAGAAAAGGAGTATGGGAAACAGATTTCCATATAGAATAAAAACTTCTTACTAGGTAAAGGTATTCACAGCCAGAATAGGATCCTAGAAGGATAGGAATTCCCTGTCTCTGGAGAGGTTCAATAAACATGCTGAGATATTACAGAGGATTGAAGTATGGAACAGATAAAATAGATGATTTGGGAGGTGAGGAGGGCTCACTGTATAGATAGTAGACACTTGCTATTTTTGTGATGGGAAAGGTAACACCAAATGAGGATGAAATGAACACAGCTTGACAAAGGTAAACTATGTCACTAAACAGTGTGTAAGAAAAAAGGCCCTGTTGATAAATGCTATGGCATTTATAATTTTGTGAAAAAAATACATGTGTAAGTATGTATATAAGCATATATACGTATGCATAGTGGCTAAGACACTTCCCTGCTAACCAGACAGCTGGCGGTTCAAACCCACCAGCCACTCCTCGGAAGGAAGGTTGGGCAATCCTACTTCCGTAGTGATACTGCCTCGGAAACCCAAGGAGGGGTCGCTATGAGTCAGGTTTGACTCAATGGCACATAACAACAACAACAACGTATAAATATGTACATATGTGTATCTATATATAGATATATACATATATATGCAACTATGTGACTATATGTATATATATATAAATAATAAAGGATTAGGACTTCTCAGTCAATTGGGGTAATACAGTTCATAAAGTTATATTTCTGCATCCTAGTATGGTATGGTGATTAGTTTCTGGGGTCTTAAAAGCTTGCTAGTGGCCATCTAAGATGTAACTGTTGGTCTTTGCTTGTCTGGAGCAAAACAGAAGGAATGAAACCCAAGATTCAGAGAAGAAAATAGTTTACAGGACAAATAGTCTACTTGATGCACAACCTAATCTACTCCGAAGAAGAACTAGATGGTGCCTGGCTCCCACTACCAGCCATTGTTATCAGAGCCACAATAGATGGACCCTGATAGAATGGAAGAAAAATGTAAAAGAGAACCTCATATTTAAAAAAAAAAACTAAAAGAAAAAAAACAGACTTTCTAGACTGGTTGAGACTGGAGCTTACCCTGAGATGCTCTTCAAACCTTGAACCAAAACTAATCCCTGAAGTCACCTTGCAGCTAAGTAACAAATTGGCTCAAAAAATAATGAATATTACCTATAAGGACTATGCTCCTTTAAAAAATTCACCTATATGAGATCAAACAGTCAACAATTACTTTAAAACAAAGATGAGAATGTAAGAGGGCAGGGAAAGTAAATTAATAGAAATGGAACAATCAAGAGTGGAAATAATCAGAATATTTACACATTGTAAAGAATGTCACTGAACAACTTACGTAGAACTTTCTGAATGGGAACCTAAACTGCTATATAAACCTTCAGTGAAAACACAATAAAATACTATTTAAAAAAAAAAAAAAAATGACTTCACAGCCTAGGAAACTCCCATCTCGTGAGGTCCCAGCAAGTGCTGTGTGAAAAGCCCAGGGCAACAGATGTTGTAGTGTGCTGTGGTTGGCAGGGCATTTTGTTACTTTAAGATGTGGCAAATAACTATGGCCTTTAGCTGCCCTTCAGGTCTGGAATTGAACCCACTCTTGTGACTTCCAGCCAAACAAAAGACAGGCATATGAGCTGAACAATCATGGGAGCATAGAAAGGTTGGGTATGCACAGGGAGCCAGCTTGAGGAGCAGGAGTGCATGGGAGGGAAGGACACAAGGAAGAGGTAACTATAGGGAGGAAGTAAAAGGGAAGCTGTTGCATCATGGGAGACTACAGTCAATGTCTTGAGACAAAGTGTATGTGAATTGCTGTGTGGAAGATGAATTTGCTCTGTAAACTTTCACCCAAATCACAATAAAGCTTTAAAAAAAAAAAAAAAGATGTGGCAAATAAAATGTATCACAACTTTTCTATTACTTAGGAAACTTGGGCTGGGTATAAACTACTTTTTAAAGCAGTCTTCAGGGTAAAGTACAGATGGTAGATGCAGCTCTGTATGATATGCCAATGTCACACGCTGAGCTTATTTTAAAATATTTTATTCTTATTTCACCTAATACACCCAGTTATATAATTTTACTCAATAAAATTTTCATACTTTTGAGTTCCAACAGCTTGGCCAAGTTTGAACTTAGGAGAGAAATCAAACATATTACCTAGTTTTAGAAGGGGAAAATGGAATCTGGTAGAGGAGTGATCCCATTTCTTTAGTTTCTTACTCTAGAGTAAGTTTTCTGTATGTGGAAAAAATACAGCTCAAAATTGTTATATGATGATATTCCACTAAAGAAGTTAAGAGTATCATTTCCCTAAATTAATACAGCAGTTTCTTGATGAACAATTTATACTTTTAATTTTCCTGATAACTCTCCCAGGAACAAGTATACGTTTTTAGTATATCCAACTTTTATTTTTCCATTGCCTCTAAATGAAAAATATTTGCATTATAATAGTTCACAGCATTTTGTAGTAAAATGGATTCAATTTTTTCCTGCTATGAAACAAACAGGCTCTTAAAAAAAAAACTGTCTTCTAGAAACCATTCATATGTCAGCATCATCCACTTAGTAAGAGCAGCCAAATAGAGCCATAAATGACACAAAATATATTTGTCAACCCTTGGATCTGGCTAATAACATGTACTTACTAGCTAGATATATGGTAACTCCAGGGAAATACTCAAGTGGCAGCTCATATGCTTGTGAGGTGTAGCTGTCTTTCACAATGAGAATTAGCTAGTCATATTATGTCCCTTTTTTTGTTGTGAATTTGTGCCTTCTTGAAGAGGCCAAAGCCTAGGTCATAGGCCCTCATCAAGGGCAGGCTGTGCCCCTGACTGCCCATTCCCACTCTTGAGGACATTTGTCTGGCAGAGAATATATCGGGAGATGATTTTGTGAAAAGTGTAACGGAAGTCTCGGTTCCGGTAGGCATAGACAATGGGATTGACAACTGAGTTGGCATGTGATAGGAGAATGGCCATGTTCATAGCCCACTTGGGTCTATTCTTAGCTTGAGCTGGCTGAAAAAGAGTGACACAGTTGATAGCATGTACTGGAAGCCAGCACAGAGCAAAAATCCCCATGATCATGGCAAGGGATTTGGCTGCATGGATCTCTCGTTGAAGGGTGGTCCTCGAGTGGTCCATCAGCTCAGTGCGCTGAAGCTGCTTACAGGCCACCATGAAGATCTTGATATAAATCACCAGCATTATAAGCAGTGGGGGTAGAACACATCCAAAGAAATTGAAATATACCATGTAGCTCATGGGGACCACATTCTCAAAGAGACATTTCACAAGGCAGCAGCTTTCATTCACGGTTTCATCCCAGGGTTCTGTGCAGTTGTTGGTAGCACTGTCTTTGCTGTTCCATCCCAGAAATGGAGTCAATCCAATGCCAAAGGCAAGGACCCAGAGGACAGCAATGACCCCTCTTGCCCGGGTCCCAGTGACCACACTTTTATACCTGTTCAAAAGAACATCATCCATTATAATCAGTTTACAATACTCTGCAACCAAAGTCTAAGACCCCACCTTTATTTTTGTGCTATAGTCCTTTATCCTTAGCAACCTATAATGTTTATCCTCAAAGGACACCATGACCTTTATCCTCAATAGTAAAGACATGCACGCAGGATATGAGCAGCTTTGCTTTAACAAGTTCAATAAGATTTTCATTCTTGATTTAGTGTAATCACTTCTATTGAGTGACAAAACTCATGGTCAATGAAAATAGGTGGGAAGTTTTACAAGGATGCTTTCTAATTACCTAGCTACTGACCTTTGAATCTAGATCTATAAGGCACTGTTCTAGGTGGTGGAAATACATCACTTAACAGAACACACAACGATTTCTACTTTTAAGGGACATACACTTCTAGCAGGAAGAGACAGTAATAAATACATATAAACCAAAGCAAGCCAAACTCACAGCTGTCGAGTCAGATCCAAATCATAGCGACCCTTCCTTGGGTTTCTGAGGCGGTATCACTACGGAAGTAGATTGCCCAATCTTCCTTCTGAGGAGTGGCTGATGGGTTTGAACTGCCAGCCTTCTGGTTAGCAGTCAAGTGCCTTAGGCACTATGCCACCAGAGCTCCTGACAATACATACAAGTTAGTACATTTTAGAGTATGTTGTTGTTATTGTGCCGTCAAGTCAGACCCGACTCATAGCAACACCTCCTTGGGTTTCTGAGGCAGTATCACTACGGAAGTAGATTGCCCAATCTTCCTTCCGAGGAGTGGCTGGTGGGTTTGAACCACCAGCCTTCTGGATAGCAGTCAGGTGCCTTAGGCATTACACTACCAGAGCTCCCTTATAGTATGTTAGAAGGAGGTGTAAGTTTGGTATGAAAAAAAAGAAAAAGTAAGAAGTTAGGGACTGTAGTTTTAAAGGGTTTGCATTGTAGTAAATTATATAATATGACTTTTCTAGCCATGAACGCATTGGCTTCAAGTTGGATCCAACTCACCGCGACCCCTCGGGTTTCCAAGGTGGTGTCATTACGGAAGTAGATTGTCCAGCCTTCCTTCTGAGGAGTGGCTGGTGGGTTTGAACCGCCAGCCTTCTGGTTAGCAGTCAAATGCCTTAGGCACTAGGGTTTGTAAACTCCATGGTGGAATTTGCCATGAGCAACTGAGTAGATCCGGAAGGTTAAAATTATCCATCTGAGGTATTTCTGTTGAGAGTGGCACAAAGCAGTGTTCTGGGAAGTTCTCTCTCTCTTTCTCTCTTCCTCTCTCTCTTTCAGGTGTATAGAATTCTGATGTTGGGATTGGTTAGTTTGGCCACTCAGTTAGGCTCAAAAGGGGCCCACCTAGAGGTAGAAGAAATCTCTCACTGCTGAGAAATGCACTGCTGAGAGAAACACATTTGCTGAGAGAGACTGCCAGCTGCTAAGTGAGACGGCTGGCTGCAAGAAACTGAACTTGAATTGTAGACTGTTGCTTCCCTAATAAACCTCATAACCTGTGAGTTCTATGTGGCCACTGCAGCAAATTATCAAACCCAGCAGAGAGGTGGTGGGTGCTGTGGGAGGAACAGATGGTGTCAGGGTTGGTGAAAGGGCTGGTGGGACGCAGTGTGTCTGGCCTCATAGGAATAGGTCTTGGGCTACTGATGGTGATTCTGTCTTCCTTTTGCAGGGTTAGAGGAGGTCAGAAGGTGCAGTCTCCTTGCCCCTTTGGCAGAGGTGGTTGGTGGGGGAGGGCCTTCATTGATGGGTGGCAGTTGAACACAGGCCCAAAGGAAGTGAGAAGTGGAGCCCCCTGCAGTTAGCACTACCTGGAGCTTTAGGCAAGGATCCTTCTGGTCTTCCACAAATAACAAAAGAGGTTTGCCTCACACCTTGGGCAAAAGTATCCTGAATACCTCTATAAATTTTTAGCAAACAAGAGTTCTGGCAGTGCCCCTAATGGTAGAGGAATGCTAGAAGCAGAGTTCATATTAAATTAATATTAAATATTAAACTTTGCCGTAGTAATACCACCTCAGAAACCCAAGGAAGGGTCGCTATGAGTTGGGGCCAACTCGATGGCACATAACAACAACAACAACATTAAACTTAGCAAATATTAAAAAGACAATTTTTATTAATTTTTAAACCTTTAAAATGGCTGTCTTTGGGCAAGATGGCAGACTAGGCAGAAAGACTGCACAGACCCTCTTCAACAAAGAAAAGGGAAAACAATTAACCAGACACAGAAGATAATCATGGACCCCTGAGCCTTGAAGGGGAGGATATACAAGTGGACTAAACCCCAACT